ATTTCAATATGATTGAGTTTCTTCCATAAGTACTCCATGCTAACTTAATTCTTCTGTTGATTTCTGGTAGTAGAGATCCCGAGCTGTGCATTAGTTGTCCCAAATATATGTATTTTTCTACTATTTCCAGTTTCGTGTTACTTATTAAAATGTCTTTTTTTCCACTAGTTCTTTGTACAGTACTTTAGTTTTTGCTAAATTTATTTTGAGACATACTTTATTGCTGGCTGTATTTAGTTCGTTAATTTGTGTTTGTAGTTATTCAGGACTATTGGCTATCCCAATAGTCCTAAATTAGTCATAATTTACCCATAAAACACCATTAAAGTACATGAAATAGAGTTTTAACAAAAAATTCATAATATCTCATTAGATTCTATCTAACTATTCAGCCTTCTTTGGTCCATTGTTGGACATACGCCTCCCCCAATCTCTTCCACTCTTCTCTCTCTGTCGCTATGCTCATCTATCTCGTGCCTGCATGTTTCCTCAGACTGTCCGTCCATCTCATCTGAGGTCTTCCTCTACTTCTTCCATTCTCACGGGGCCTCCAGTTACGATGCATTTGTACCATCAATCGTCCTTCTGTGTGATATTGTGACCGGCAAACTTCCATTTCAATATTGCTTCTTCACTTCTAACATACCTTACTTTTGTTTTACCTCTGATGCAGTAGATTCTACATGTACTAAATAAGCTCTGTTAATGTCCCATACTCACTATTCGCTGATGCGATTCTTCGATGCGGTTCGTCGATACGGTTTGTTCTGAAATTGTCGTGTGAAGTCGGTTTTTGGACGAACATCAAAGGAGATATCTCGAACACAATGAACGAATTTTCATCGAAATAACGAATCGCATGGACCCGCATCGACGAACAGCACCAGCGCATAATGAGTGTGAGAATAAAAAAAATTGTTGAAGCAATGTTTGAGCAAAAAAAAACATATTTTATTATTTTTACTTAGCATATTAAACTAACATTTTACTCGTTGATTTATTGTCCATAATTTGTAATAAATATTAACGCGAGAGTAATAACTATTGAATCTGCGTCGAATAAATTAATAAATCCACGGAATATTTTAATAATTTTCCTGCGTGGCGTTTACGAGCTTTTAAACGAAATCTACTATATTAAATTAAACATCGTTTCCTGTAGTAGGGACGTTACAAAAAATATCGATATGGTGGAAATATCGATTCTCTTTTGTAGTTGGGCCAACTGGTTGTCTATTGTTGGCTTTGCGGACCCATGTTCGGTTTTCTTCTAGGTCTGTTAATTCCTCGTGGGTACCATACTGTAATTTTTGTGGCCCATCTGTTGTCTGTCCTTCTTGCCAGGTGTCCTGCCCTTTGCCATTTGAGGGAGTTGACTCTATGGATGACATCTATTACCTAGGTCTTTTGTCATATCCACTCTATTCTTTTACGGTCTCTCTTGGTTATTCCCAGCATATTTTGTTCCATTGAGCGTTGTGCGACCTGCAGTTTCCTCATGATGTCCGTTTTAAGTGTCCAGGTTTCGCATGCATAGGTCATCACTGGTAGTACACATTGGTCGAATGTTTTCTTCTTTAGATTCAACAACAAACTCTTTAGATATTCTATGGGCTTAACCAACTAGAGACAGGTGTATAACGAGATCAAACTGAGGAAATGGAGGTGGATTGGTGACACTTTAAGGCGAAGCGACAACAACATCGCTGGCTGTAATCCTCAGGGCAGTAGAAGAATTGGTCGTCCAAGACATACATGGCAAAGGGCAATTAAAAAGGAGATCGAAGCAGTAAACCGATCATGGCGAATGTCAAATCAATTGCAAACAACCGTAACCTGCTGGAGAGCATTTATTGAAGCTCTACTCTTCACGTAAGAGTAAAGGACAAAATGAAAAAATGTAGTCCTTTTCGATCTCTAGTTCACATTTTGCCAAGTTGTCGCACTAAGATAAAATATGTTTTGTCAGATTGAGAAAATTTGCATATGTTCCTTTCAATGTTCCTTTGCTTATCAGGGTCTGCCATAAATTATGATGAATGTTCTAATACATTTAATGTGTGTGGCTTCCAAATTTCTTTTCCAGAGCAGGATGCAGTGATCAACTTTCACAGCCATAGAGCACAATATAAGTTCCAGACTGAGTTTTGATCTTGTGCTTCTTGGTTTTCATTTGGGTGAACATTTTTCTAGCTTGTTCTCTCTCTATTCTGCCTGGGATCTTATCGATGTGCCCAAGTACTTACTTCGTTGTAGATTTTATTTTTTAATCACTCTTAGGCAATTTAGTATAGCAATCTAGTAAAATTTTACAAATAAGCTATTTGTTTTTTACTTAATTTGCTTGTTAAATAGGTAAAAACACTAGTCCTATGATAGTAATTTTGGTTCTGTTAGTTCTGTTGGAGCACTATATAAGAATGCACTGGGGGGGCTGTACTAACACTTTTTACTACACTAGTTCAAATGGTTTTGTTCTTTTCAGTTTTCTAACTAAGCTATCACTATCCAGGAGCTGGCGGGCCTCGATATTGATGTGCTGATGATAGATTTTATAAAAAATAACAAAAGACAATCAACCATATTTCGATAGCATTCATGAAAACGAACATTCCCTACATTCCATATTTATAATTTAAACAAGTCCTAAATACCGCCGGAACGCATCTAGAGCGCCTTTAGACGGGGACTATTTTAAATTGGTTTACTTTACTGGCGAGCCAATCCGTATTAAAAGACACAAATCTGTTCGTACACGCTGTCGTTACGAGATCGCTTGTTAGGTGCAATTAGTGCGAGCGCAATATTTTGCGTTGCCTCAGAATTGATTCGTTTTGTGAGATGAAATGACCTATTAATTTAATAACGTAGGTAAATAGATAATATAGAGTACGAGCTTCGTTATTTATATGCTGCTTCTGAGCATTTTTTTGTAATCCAGAGATGTTCTTGTGACTACTCGCATCTGTATGGATGATACGCATATCTTCTAAAACACGAGATAAAGAGGAAACCAACTTAAAGCAGAACTCAAGAACTTTGAAGACTCTAACCAGGACCTGGAATGGGAATCCTTCAATGGTCTAAGACACTAGAAGAAATTCCTCAAGACTTTTAAGACCCAGAAAAAACAAGGATTTTTCTTGATTTTAGTAAGGACAATCTTCGGATTGTCACGGGGTTTTTGTGTCCTTAATTAACAACTCAGTAGATTGGAGCTAAGAAACAACGACGAATGCAGATTCTGTGGGGAAAATGGGGAAACACCAGAACACCTTATCATTGAATGCGCCGGGACGACAACCATTAGAGCCATAAACTTTGGTACGACTGATACTGGAGATGGAGAACTAACTTCTGTAAAACAGTCTCAGATACTGGCTTCTATCAAAGCCTTGAGACTGTATGATGAGGTATAGCTGAAGAAAGTAGGACACAGTAGATCTATAATGATACGGTGATTAACTTACTCCGCCCTTTCCATACAATCTACAAAACACTAGATAAGTAAACACAGTGTTTAATATGACTAGATTTGGAGAATACCACTACTGAATATTACTTCTATCTTCTAAGAGCATCATTTGAGATTTTTACTTTTAAGAGACTAATGAATGTAAACACAGTTTCTAAGGAACTTAACTTATCAACCTCTAGGATAACCTATTATGCCCTTTTGAGTCACATCTTCGTTATGCCCTTCCATTCTGTACTTGCGCAACAAAATTTGATCGTATTTTCAAACTTCAAAAGAGAGCAGTTGGATATTTATTGGGACTGAACAGTAGAACTCACTGCCAGAATATCTTTAAAAATTTCAAAATACTGACTCTTCCTTCTTTATTCATTTTTGAATCCGTTTGCTTAATCCGGAAGCATATATCTGCTATTCCCGAAAGGCTCGAATCTCACAACTATCCACTTAGGAATGCAGAGCACGATCTTTATCTGCCAACCCCGAACTCAGAACTAGTTAAAGGCTCAATACTGTATAATGTCAAAAACATGTACAATCATCTGCCTTTGAATATCAAGTCGCTTTCATTCTTTCCCGCATTTTGTTACGCCTTTTTTTGTGTTCTGCAAATGTCCATGTATGTTATATTTGTAATTTTAATGACTTAAATTTTTTTGAATTGTATGATTTGTATTGTATATTTTTTATTATTTGTATATTTTTTGTGCTTTTGTTTGTTTTGTAAATGCTTTGTCGATGAAGCTATTTTGGCTTTTTGCATAATAAAGCGTTATTTATAAACAAAATTTAATTTAAAAATTTCTCAAAAGCCATTAGATATTAGTACCTATATTAATGTAAAAAAAGTAAATAAAATCTTATTTAATTCTTAGTTATTTTTTTTTAAC